CTGCGGAGAGTCCGGTGTGCTGGGTTTCGAGCTAAGATCGATTATGACATTAGTTTGAGCGGATAGGTGTTCTAATTTGTGCCATATGTCTTTATTCTCGTGAAGGGTTGTCAGCAAACCAAAAACTTCGTCAAATCTGTCTTCAACAAAAATTATATGCGATGGATTGTCTTTAACCGAATTGAATAGACCACGTAAGATGTCGTATTGTTTGTGGGTAGTGTTTGGACAAACGAACAGTCTGAACAGAAATTCTCTCAAACGTTGTATTTGTTTCAACTTGGTGCCGTCCATTGCTTAAGTCACCAGAGGGAAAGTGATAGACTTTCGATATTTATCTTGTCAAGGTTAGTCATACTTGAATAAGGTTTTAACACATACAAGTAATATTGGTCAAAATATGTTGATATCGACGCCTATCTCGGCCGATAAGGGTTTTCCGAAAAGAAAAAAAGAAGAAAAAAAAAATTGAAGTCGATCGCAAATTCCAGTGCCATTTTTAGTTGTGGAGAACCCGAGCACGTAAAGTCCCATGTTGCATTGCTAAAAGAGTTGCGTAAAGGAACCCATCCAAATTTAGTGACAATCGGCATACTAACGAGCGATCTTCCAAATGCCCCCAAGCACAGCTCACAGTGCGGGCTCGTAGCATGGAAACATTGACCCAACACAGACGAGATTGCGTTCCGTGTTAACAAAAAGATTGAAGTGTTCTGAAACGGGTGTAGACGATATAAGAAATGGCTTACTTACTTCATCGTTTAATCAATTCTTTTAATAATAGGGGGTGTGCTCTTTATCAAAAATTGTTTATCAGTTGGATGGGGCGCACCGTATTGAGTCGTGGCGTTATGCATACAGATTTGGACATGTACTATATCTTTATCAACAAACAAGTACATTTTACTTGACGGGGACCATTACTATTTCCAAGTTCGTTATAGTCAATCGACCCTTTTTATACACTAATCCAAATTAATCCATTTTATAATCGACAAGAATGGCAGAATACGACTATAATGCCGGAAAAAAGTTCTTGACATTTCCTAATTTATATTCGGGGCTTCCCGTTCCTCCTACATGTACAGTCCTACCTCGTTTATATCCCCACTTTGGGACGGAGCTTTTTCGGGGATATATTCGAGGTGGGGATACAA